AGCGATGGGATATATACCAACCATCTGGAGAAGAGCTAAAGTCATCTTCATACCCAAAATAGGCAAAACTGACTGGGCTAACCCCAAATCATTTAGGCCTATTAGTCTCACATCGTTCATATTAAAAAAACGATGGAGAAAGTAGTGGACAACCATATTAGAGTAAATCATCTACAGGTTAAGCCACTGCACGATAGTCAGCATGCATATAGAGCGGGCAGATCCACAGAAACTGCTCTGTACCAGTTAACTGAGCTAATACAGGCAAGCCTGGATAGCAAAGAAACAGCACTTTGTGCCTTCTTGGACATTGCAGGGGCGTTTGACAATATACCTCACAAGGTGGTCAAGCGATCTCTTGAAACAAAAGGGGCGAACAGTACGATAATTCGCTGGTTTTGGGAAATGCTCTCAACACGAACAGCAGAGGCTGAGATAGGTACCAAAACTGTAGTTGTTAAAACAACGCAAGGAACTCCACAAGGTGGAGTGACCTCCCCCCTACTGTGGAGCTTGGTAGTGGATGAACTACTGGAAGAATTAACTCTAGCGGGAATACACTGCATAGGGTACGCAGATGACATAGTCATCATTGCACAGGGGAAACATGAAGGCACCCTGTGTGATATTATCCAAAGAGGATTCCGCATCGCTGAGAGATGGTGCAGGACTGTCGGGCTGAGTATTAACTCAGATAAAACCGCAGTAGTGCCATTCACCAGAAAGCGAAGTTTGAAAAACTTGAAAAGAATCCATCTAGATGGAAAGGAAATACTGCCATCACAGGAAGTGAAATATCTGGGAATAACCCTGGATAGTAAACTTCTCTGGAACAGGCATATTAAGAACATTACCAGCAAAGCCACAAAGGCTCTCATGATATGCAGAAGACTGGCGGGAAATAGGTGGGGCTGCGCCCCTAACATTTTGCGCTGGATGTATACCATGATAGTAAGACCCATGATTACTTATGGAGCAGTTGCTTGGTATACAAAACTAGAGCAACGTACAGCAAGGCAAACCCTGTGCAAAGTACAGAGACTGGCATGTATCTGCATCACAGGTGCCATGAGAACATGTCCAACAGCAGCAATGGAGGTCATTCTAGACCTAACACCACTGCATATTGTCGTCGGTAGTTATGCCAATGCGACAATGATTAGAATGGTCATTGACGGAAACAGTACTGGGAGAATTTTCAGGTCAGGGGCTTGGAACACCCTCAAAAAGAAAATTCCACTTCTCCAACTCCCAGTGGATGACATACCAAGAATTTACAACTTTGAGAAACACCTCACTGTAGTATTGAGTAATAAAAAGGATTGGAAGAAAGAAACGCTTACTCAGCATATAAAAGACCATACCATCACGTGGTATACTGATGCTTCCAAAACCAAAGCAGGGACAGGGATAGGAGTATTTGGGCCGAAAACTGAATACTCCGAACCAATGGGCACCTACCCCAGTATCCTTCAGGCAGAAATTTGCGCTATCGAAAGATGCGTACAATTTATCTTGGATAGGAACTATCGAAAACAGGAAATTGCCATCCTATCCGATAGTCAAGCAGCACTTAACGCGATCAACTCAGTAACCATCAATTCGAAGTTGGTCAAAGAATGCCTAGAGAAGCTCAACAAATTAGGCAAAGAAAATAAAGTCCTCCTATCTGGGTGCCTGCTCACCAAGGGATAGAAGGCAATGAAAAGCGAATGATCTAGCTAGGAAAGGAGCGAACACTCCACTAACTGGACCAGAACCGTTCTGTTTTCCAAACGGGAACCAACTGAAAGCGGAACTGAAGAATCTGGAAGACTCCATCCGTAACTTGGAATGGGTGTCCTCCAACGGTCTAAGACACTCGAAAAAGTTCCTTAGAACTTATGACCGAGAAAAATCAAAGGTTTTCCTTGATTTAAGTAAAAACAATCTTCGGATTGTCACGGGGTTTCTAACAGGACACTGTCTCCTCAACGAACACCTCAGTAGGCTGAAACTGAGAAACAACGGCGAATGCAGATTTTGTGGGGAAAATGGGGAAACACCAGAACACCTTATCACTGAGTGCGCCGAGACGACGACCATTCGTGCCATGAACCTTGGCACGTCTGATGTCGAAGATGGAGAGCTGGCCTCTGTGGAGCCGTCTCAGATACTGGCTTTTCTTAAAGCCCTGAGACTGTATGATGAGTTATAACTCGTTATAACTCAAGAAAGGGGAACACACAATAGATCTATAAGGTCGCGGTGATTAACTCCCCTTCTAAACATTCTACATTCTAGTTAAATTCAAAAATGAAAATGATTCGAAGTAGTGCATGAAATTAAACAGAGCTTATTTAAAAATAAATTTCATGAATCTGTAAAAAAAGTTAAGCAGTTAGATGGTGGTAGAGTTATCATGGAATGTCATAACCCAGAGCAACAAACAAAACTAAAGAAAATATTACATGAAGATGGTAATTTCCAAGTTGAACTAAAAACAGTACCGATCCGATGATTATGATAACAGGTATTGAAAAAGGATACGAGCGACAAGACTTTGTCACAGAATTGGTAGAACAGAATCCAGATTTCAAAATTAACTTTGGAGAAAATGTACGGGAAAAAATTAAATATGTAACTAAAAAACAGTGTCGCAAAAAAGAGAAAGAAAATTGGATTCTTCAGTTACCTCCGCCTATTTTTAAGTGGGTTATAAAAATGAAAATATTAGTTTCGACCTTCTGAAAGTATTTGTTCAATAACATTATAATGTTTCAATATGTTTTAATTGCTGTAATTACGGACATGTATCTAAACATTGCAAAGCGGCTGAATGTTGTTACCGTTGTAGTGATGCACATCTTGGAAGAAAATGTCCAAATATCAATAAGTTAGACTGTCCAAACTGTAAGAGGCTTCGATTAGCGGATCGAATTCACAGTGCTTTAGATTACCAGTGTCCAGCATATCAATTACAAATGAAGAAATATATATCTAATGTAAACTATGATAATGAGAATGCAACCAAGAATATTTTTTTAGAAAAAAACTAACCAACTTGAAAAAGAATAAAATATCAAAGCATGTTTTATACATCAAAATCTTCAGTCTATTAATAACTGTTTGGACATAATTGAAGCATTTCTGGAAACCCAAAATAACTGTACAGTTTTCTGTGTCACAGAACATTTGAAAACTTCAACACAATTGTGCAATTATAACATAAAAGGTTTCAGTCTAGTTACTGCTGTCTGTCGCAAAGAAGAAAATTCCCATGGAGGTTGTGCCTTCTATGTATTCTGTGAAATTGAATGTAAAATAAGAACAGATGAACTTTCAATGGCTGTTGAAGGCAGTTTTGAGTGTTGCGCGTGTGAATTTCAGTGTAATAAAAAAACGTTTATTATAGTGTGTGTCTACAGACCCCCTATTGGCGATTTTAGTATTTTTCTGTCAAAACTGGAAGAGGTATGTCTAAATTTGTCTAAGATTAATGCTGTAATTTTCTGCATAGGAGATTTTAATGTAGATATATTGAGTGATAGTAGGCAGTGTCGAATGTTGCTTTCATTGATGGAGTCGTATGGAATACACTGCACTTTTTTCCAACCAACGCGAATTACTAATAGAAGCTCTACATGCATTGATAATATATTTACGAATTATGAAGGTAATTACAAAACTTTGGTCTTAAATTCTTTAATATATGATCACACTGCTCAAAAAATAGAAATTGAGCTACCAGCCTAAGAAAAAAATATTACTGAAAAAATTCGAATATTTAACAAAAGAAATAAAGAGCTTTTTAGGTCTTCTCTGACGAGTATAGACTGGTCAAAATTATACAACTTGCCTTCCAAACATATAAATGAACAGTGGAATTTATTTATGAACAATATATGTCACCACTTTAATCAACATTTTCCTTTAGTAAATAAAAAAATATATAAAAATAAGCGAGGTTTTATAAATGCTCCGAAAATAAAAAAATGTAAAAATGAACTTGACATATTGTATGTATTAAAAAGTAAAATAGAATGTGTTACTTTACTGTACAACGAAAAGAAAAAAGAATATAATAAATTGCTAGATGAATGTAAAAATAGACATTTTTCTGAAAAAATAAAGATCTCCAGCAATAAATCAAAAACTACGTGGTCAATTATAGGCGAAATAACTGGAAAATATTCTAGTAAAACTAAATTTAATATGAACGGTAAAAATAATAATATTGCGAATAATTTTAATTCATTTTTTATTGACAGTGCTTCTGAACTACTTGAAAATATTGAAAATGTTCCATTTTTTTCTCATATTCCATATTATCCACATAATATTGAATCAAAACAAATAGATATTACTGAATTAATAGAGTGTGTGAAAGAGCTTCGAAATTAGTGCAGTGGCCGGCTGCGATGAAATATCCATGAATCTTATTAAATTTGTTATTGACGCTATAGCAACACCCCTTTGTTACATAATAAATAATTCGCTTAAAAGTGGAATTTTTCCAGATGAATTGAAGTTGGCTGTGGTTGTTCCCGTATATAAAAAAGATCGAAATATGAAAATTATCGTCCTATCAGTAGGGTAATTCCGGGGTAGTTGGACCATCGGGTTAGATCGACCAGTGCCAAAATTCTCCGTGTTATTTAATTTTTTATACATCTACACCCGGGCACCCCTCCGTTGGACGAATCCAAATATTAAAATATTGTTTTTGTTTGTCTGGCGGCGTTCAGTCACACAGAAGCTTAGTTAGTGTGCACATGTTAGTAATAAAAAAAATTCTATAGTTTAATTACATGCTGTAAAAACAATATATGTAAGTATTTTTTGCCGATTGTATAGTAGATTGTTGCTACCTTAACAAAGTACAGTTTAACCGAATATTTTTATCGCTGAATAGTACAAGGCCGTATTGACAAGGTGGTCCATCTAACCCATGTAAATGGGTTAGTTGGACCGTAATTTTTTGGGTTAGTTAGACCATTGTTTTGTTTTAGATAGTCATAATGCCGACTTTTTATAAAAGGAAAGGCACAGTCAATAGAGCTACTTGGAGCGCAGAGGCCCTTCAAAATGCAATGAATGCTGTTTCCACGGGTACATTAGGTGTTAATCAAGCTGCAAGGGAATATGGAATACCTAAAACTACGCTAAAAAACAGAATAAAATTACAAAAGTCATCAAAGTCACGTTCATTGGGGAAGCAGTCTTGCCTTAATGAAGAAGCTGAACTGAAGTTAGTTTCCCACATTAAAAAAATGCAGAAGTATGGTTTTACTCCAAATCGTGATCTGGTAAGAAGCATGGCTTTTGAACTTGCTGAGAAACTTAAAATTAAGCACAACTTTAATAAAATAAAGAAAAAAGCCGGGTATGATTGGTTGCAGTTATTCTTATCAAGGCATGCAGATTTATCAGTTAGAAAGGCAGAAGGAGTATCAAATGCGCGTGCTGTAGGATTGAATAAGACCGTAGTGGAAGAGTATTTTTCTGTTCTTGAAAATGTTTTAACCGAATATCAATTATTTGAGAAGCCAGGAAATATTTTTAATATTGATGAAAGTGGCCTACAGTTAAATAATAAACCTGGGTATGTTATAGCGGAAAAAGGGTCTAAAACTGTATCCAACATAACTTCTGGCGAAAAGGGGGAAACCATTTCTATTGTAGCATGTTGCAGTGCAGAAGGTGTTTTTCTACCCCCCTATGTATTTTAAAAGGAAAAAACCTTAAGGAATGTCATAAGGACGGAATGCCTCCAGGGTCTGCCATTGTAATGAACGAGAAATCAGCTTACATCAATGCTGTTATAAGAAATAAGAAATGGTTAGAGGAGCATTTCCTGCCAAGAAAGCCTGCTGGTACCGCCTTAATTATCTTAGATGGGCACACATCGCACACCAACTCTGTAGAAGTATTAGAATTTTGTGAAGCAAATGAAATTATTTTACTGTGTCTGCCTAACCATACGACACATTTTCTACAGCCCTTAGATAGGTCGTTCTTTAAATCACTTAAATCACATTATTATTCTGAGTGTAACCGATTTATGGAAACAAATCCTTCTAGGAAAATAACCCGGTACCAATTCGGCAAATTACTTGGAGAAGCTTGGAACAAATCAGCTACAGTTCAAAAAGCCATTTCTGGCTTCAAAGCCACAGGAATCCTACCGTTTAATCCCAGTATCATTCCAGATTATGCGTACTTAAGCGATACGTTAGTTTCGAATTCTGCTAATCAAACTGATGGTATTCCCAACAGACACGCAATTTCTTTAACATCTAATCCAAATATTGCTCCGACACTATCGCCAGTTGCTAGTTGCTCCAAGACACTATCCCCAGTTGCTGGTTGCTCCAAAGATCCCGATTACAATGGTTTGAACCCTCCAAACTGTCGAAATGAACAACAAGCCCAAACAACAGAAATTACCCCAGGAAAAGCCCTGAATGAAATTGCGCCTGTTATTAATACATCTGCTGTTAATACGGTTAGAAAGCGTGCCCGTCAAGTAGCCAATGTTTTGACAAGTCCAGAAAATATTGAGCTGCAAAAACAAAAAAAACAGAAGGCCGAAATAAAAAACAAGTCGAGCAAAGAAAGAGCTAAAAAGAAACGAACAATAACAAAGAGATTAAAAGAAGATTATAGTGATGATAGCAACTCAGAGAGTGAAATTATTTTGCAAGACAGCGAAAGCGGTGACGAAAAATGGGATGAAAACGATTGTACTGGTTGCCGCGAAAACTACTCAGTGACTAGGAAAAAGGATGACTGGTTCCAGTGCACTCGATGTGATAGATGGTCACACGAGGGTTGTATGAAATATTCACAGATGTGTTACCAGTGCGGCAAAACCGCCTCTAAAAACAGTGCCTAAATAAGTCCCTTTAAGAAATTAATGTTGTTTATGTATCCTTATTTTTAGTTCTTGATGCAAATTCGTTTACTTTTATTAAAATTTATATTTTTTAGTTTATAACTTTTGATTTAAAAAGTGGTCGATCTATCCCATATATCTTGGTCCATCTAACCCGAGGACATCGGGATAGTTCGACCGATACCTTTTTTTTAAATTTCACTCATAGTTTCCTTTGTGAATTTTTGTATTTTTGCATAATAAATACTTGCACAATAACTATATAGTTACTTCTTTTTGCTAGATGGCGCTTTCTAAAATTTAATATAGAAGTGTAAAAGTAGGAGCAAAAAAAGTGGTCCAACTATACCGGACTTACCCTATGCTTTCTTCTTTTTCGAAAGTGTTTGAAAAAATTCTGTCTAACCGTATTATTAAGTTTATGATTGAAACAGGGCAATTAAATGACTGTCAGCATGGTTACATAAAAACACGTTCAACAACTACTGCGGTATTTCAGTTTATAAATAACATTTTATCGGCTTTGGAGACAGGAAATATTCCCATGAGAATATTTTTGGATCTATCTAAAGCATACGATACAATTGATCACAACATTCTGATCCAGAAATTACACATGTATGGTATCAGAGGCTCAACTTTACAGTGGTTACGATCATACCTGAGGAATCGAAAACAAAGAGTAAAACTCATAAAAAATCGCGACATAAGTTACTCAAAAGATCTGACAATTAATGTAGGAATCCCTCAGGGTAGTGTTTTAGGGCCAATATTATTTATATTGTATATCAATGACATTCAGACATGGACGGAAGAGAAGAAATGGTGTAGTGTAACAACGTATGCTGACGATACTAATATATTAATAAAAGGGAAAAATATAGGTGATACACTAGAAATGGCTAAAAATATTATGAATGTGGCGCAAAATTGGCTCAACAAAAATCATTTAATATTAAATAAGGATAAAACAAGCACCATATTGTTTAAAACTAAAAGATCCCAGTTGGAAGAGCCACAGCAAATTATTTTTGACGGAACGCCTCTAAAATTTAAGCACGGTATAAAATTCTTGGGATTGGAATTGGACAATACTTTCACGTGGTTAAACCATATCGAAAATATCTGCAAGAAATTATCTAAATCTATATACAATATAATTGTTTTGAGACGATATGTAAATTTTTCCACGTTGAAGGTTTATCATGCAATTTTTGAAAGCAACATTCGATATGGCATAATTGTTTATGGAAACTCTATGGATATAGAAAAATTATTTATATGCCAAAAAAGAGCGTTGCGCATTATGCTTAATATGAATGTGCGTGAGTCATGTAGAGGAAAATTAAAAAAAAAAATTTGTTAACAGTAACAGCAATCTTTATCCAGGAATGTGCATTATTTTTTCACAAAAATCAAAATTTATTTTGTAACGATATACCTCAATCAGTTTATCAAACCAGAAATTGTAACTTTAATTTTCCAGTACATAGACTCACATTAACTGAGCATGGACCATACTATAATTGTATAAAAATATATAATACCTTGCCACAGTATATAAAACAGATCAATCAGACTGTACTATTTAAAAAGAAATTGTATAAGTATTTAATAGATTTGGAGCCATACAGTTTAATTGATTTTTTTAATGCGTAAATCATATAACATTTGTTTTTACAATTATTTTCATATATTATTGAAATTTTTGAGTAAGTATTTTTTGAAATTGTTTCTCTTTTTTACATCATATTATGTACTTACATATGACCATATATGTACTTAGAAAATTGTTTTTTTCTGCTTTTTTGACACTGTTTCATTCAATGTCACTTAGTGTAACATTTTATTGAAATAAAGATATATTATTATTATTATATTATTATTACATTCTCTATTAATCTCGTCGGATCCTTATGCAACTAGTTTAAGGTATAAGTGGCAGAGATCTATTAAAGTAGGCTTAAAATACTTCCTAAGATATTCGTTTTTGTATTTTTCATAATTTTAAGTTCTAGTAAATTTTAGATTATTATTTTCTTGTTATAAGTTACGAACTTTGTTAAAATTATTCATATCCATGCCACGTTTGTTTTTTGTAACTAAAAAAATACAACATTTTTATCAAGACAACCTATCAATATTAATTTATTATTGTGCAAATTTGCTAATTATTGTTAATTAAAGTGACATTTTATATGTTTAGAATATTCCATTTCACTCATATTATTTTTTTTTCTGTGATGACGTACAGGTATTTTTACTCGGTAAATTGTTAAAGTTCTAATATTTAAATTTATTATACTTTTTATGTGCGAAGTGTTTCCTAAGTAATCTAAAATAAAGTGATTCAAATTAAACAAGTAAAAATAAAGAATTTTGTGTAATTATTTACCTTAAATGTGCTACCTTAAAGTCTGTATTAAATATGCATCTTTTGAAATTAGGCAAATGCTGTTAAATTTACTTTATTTTTTTTCTGAAAACCCGTTCGTCTGATAGGAAAAAGTCAAGAGGTCTTTTTAGTTAGAAATTAATGAAAGATTACGAAAATTATTTTTATTTTGAAAAATGCAGTGGCGTATCAATTTTTTGATCGAATAAAAATTTAGTGTTTTTCACTTTCAACACCCTGTATCTTGGAAATGCAGCATTTGCGGACCCATGTTTTTATGAACTTTCTATCGTAAAATACTTGAAATAATCGTCTGGTAAATGTATGACACATACTTAATCAACATTCTGTATTATTATGTAAGTACTGATATTTAGGTAAAAACTATCTATGAAGTCGCATTTTTTCCACACACTCTGTATACCACTGGCAAAAAATACATGCATTATATCCGCAAATTGTAGTTTTATTGCAAAATGGTCAAATATTACAGAAAATAACATTCATTATATAACTTTTTGTAAGTTTAAATATAAGGTTTTGGCCAAAATCTCCCATAAGGACACTGTGCATCGCCGCGACCTCCGCATTAAGAAGAAAATATTATTTTGCATTTAAAATAAAAATTTGAATTCTTAAATAGTTTTGGGAAAACACGACCTGTTGTTTATTTATAGATGTAAATTATTGTTTGATTTATTTTCCCCACCTCTGAGCCAAAAGAACTGTAACACTGTCATACTTCTCCACTGTCTAAAAGCTACCCGAACCGGCACTGGTGGGCCTCTAAACCTGAGGTGGCATGGCGCCCGAGAGCTTATAGGCAACACTAAAAGAAACGCCAGTAACGCTGCTCAGAAAGTAGCTACGTTGCACTCTCTTATTGCAAAACCCTTTGACGGAAACCGAAATGATCTGAATTTTTATCCAATTATGAAAATACCTGTATTAGCATTTGTAATATCTAAAATAACAGGAAGTGCGAAAACCCAAATGCGAGATAAATCTATTAGTTCCTGGAAAGATTTTAAAGATCTCCTTATGCAATTGTATTCTGATAGAAAACACTACGTTCAACTAATGGATGAATTAAACAACATTAGAGAGCCCCTTCATGAATCAGTTCTAAATTATTATAACCGACTCCATAAATTAACTACCCGTTTATACTATTAGTTTTCAAAATAAAAATCAGTTAGAAGGGTGTTCTGAAACTATCAAAGAACTTTCTCTTCAAAGATTTATTCTCCATTCACTATTATTGATATCTCTACCCTAACTGAAGCGCTTACTGCCGCTTTATAGGAGGAAAGAGCACTTCAATTATCCAAATCTTCTTTTTCAAAACACTCTTAGTAATTCATCAAAATATTGTTCATTTTGTAAAATTAACAGTCATACATTAGCAAACTGTTATAAGAAAAGAATATAAATTTTAA